GCAGCGGATGCCTGTTTTCTGACTGGTCGGCGGACCGCCGACCGATCGGCCCTGATCGGTCGGTACAAAACGGTCGGCAGTCGAGGTCAGCGGTCGGCGCTGATGCAACCCTGTACAAGCACCTGCAGTCCGAGCTGGCGAATCTCCGACGGGCGGTGCGGAACCACAAGGATGTGCATGAGGATGCTACACGGGCACTCGATTCCCGTGTATAGGACTTGGAGCCAGTAGCACCAAGACCAGATGTTGGCGCGGCCAGCAGTGCACTCTCTACCCGCCAATTAGAGGAACGAGTTGACCACGTCCTCGCAATGCTCGGCGACATCAGCACCTTCGCTGCACCAGCCATCATCAGCAAGCAACTGGACACCTTGAAGACCGAGGTTCAACAAATGCACCAGCGGCCCAACAAGGATGGCAACACCAGTGCGCAGCACTACAAGATGCCGACATTCCAAATCGAAAAGTTCGATGATTATACGCATCAAGACCCGGTCCCCGGGTGGGAGGGCTTTACGATGCAACTTCGGATTCTTTTCGTCCCCGAGCACTCGTACATCGGCGCGTTGTTCCTCAACTCAAAGGGCGGATGCCAGATCTGGCTCAGCCACGTGGCAACCATTCACGGCGTCCAGGTCGCAGATCTGCATGATAAGATCTCTTGGGAAGAGTTAACAAGGCTATGGAAGAAGCGGTTCATCGTGGACGACGCCCCGACGCTCGCCATCAACCGCCTCTTCGCTATTACGCAAGGCAACACATCGACACGCGACTGGCTCATGGAATGGCAAAAGATCGCGGTGATGCCCGATCTCGAATTGCCATTTTCGCATCTGCACCGGGAGTTCATGTGCCGCCTTGAGCCTTTGCACTTGGTGATCGCGAGCAATACACGACCTTCGCCGAAATCATCGACAAGGCAAGGGAGATCATCAAGACCAATAGGGCGGATCATCAAGACCAATTGGGCGGCTGCACACGAGAAGTCGGCATGGCAGCCAACCTATGTGGAGAGGAAAATTTGGTCCGCGTCCTTAGCAAGTCGCTGCAGTCCAACCGGACAACATTGTGGAAGACCCGGCAGCCACCCAAGCATCACGTGAGGGAGATCAGGTGGCTGCTGTCCAGCCACGAAGCAACRACAACTCCCGAGGAAAAGGGAAGGCGAAAACCGCATCGCCGGTCGGAAACGGACAACCAGCACCTTGGGTCAAGTTTCACTTGACCGAGGCCGAAGTTTCACTTGACCGAGGCCGAATACAAGTGGCGCGGCCGGTATGGCTGCTGCTATTGGTGCAACAGCACCAAGCACAAGACCTCCCAATGCCCGGATCAAGGCAAGGAGGATGTTCGGCCTCGCATCAACTCGGGAAACTGAGTTGCGCGGGAGGTGAGGCGACTCCACCTCTCACTCCGCCAGATTCGGCCGCCTTGCTAGCGGCCTCCTACACATCTGGCAAGGATGCGAATGTCGCAAGTCCTCGGTTCACTTACGGGGATTATGCTGTCCACTTGGTCCCACCATTGGACCAACCACTCCACGTGCAACAATCCACCGCATGCACGGTTTCACTACCATCGGCAACCGATTCAGAGTAATTAAGATGGTCCTCCAGGACATGTGTTAAAATTGGAACGATACAGAGAAGATTAGCATGGCCTCTGTGCAAGGATGACACACATAAATCGAGAAATGGTCCAAGAACAGGAAACAAAAACTGATTGACTAGCTTTGGAGATGAGCTATCACTTGTCGATGGTACTGTGCGAGGTGGTAGGGGATACAAAGGTGACCCTGTTCACCGCTCAGATCTTGATTCTATGAGTCTTTTGACATCGCAAATAGAAAAAGTAGATTTCGTATGATGTCATGGGCGGCAGGGCAAAGGCTCTATGAATAGCGAATCGGCCATTACTCATTTGGTTTGGGCAGGAGAGGGCTATGCAGAGGGGAATTTCAACCAAAACAAAAAAAGAAAAAGAAAGGGGAATTTGAAGACCTTCAAGGCTACTTCGAAGACACTGAAGTGCAAGAGTAAGAGAAGAGGACAAAGAAGAGGAAGAAGAAGAAGAAGAAGAAGAAGAAGAAGAAGAAGAAGAAGGGGAAAAAACTGTAAGAAAAGAACTTGTCTTTTACGGGGTGTTGACTGGCGTCAGCTGACTGGTTGGCAGTTGGTTGGTTGGCCCCCGACCGGTCAGGGGGCAACGGTGGTCGGCATGACTACTCTGTGGATGACGCTGGAACATTGCACCGCTAGCCACTGTCTTCCCTAGAATGGAGTGCACCAATGCACCCTCATCATGACTGTATTGAACCGGAAAGCTGACATGTATACATTCATGATGAGGATGCATTGCATTCGGGGGCAAGCTGAGTAATCGAGGTGTCATGCCCTCATGTCATGACTGGACAAGCCATGGTCAGCCTGGGGATTCATGTTGGGCAGTACCAGGTACACCACCAATCTTGCATCGAGTCTCATTGAACCAGTATCTAACTACCGTCTTTCCCCGAATAGAACGCAGGGTCATTATAGCTGTATTTGGGGCAATTTTCAGTCTACGTACAGCCATAATGATCGTTGGTTATATTCTGGACAAGACAGTAAGGTAACCTTTGTCAGTGTGGTATGGCCAGATCGAACAACGAGGACAGAACAATCAGCTGCCGTGTGTCCTATTTTGCAAATGTTGGGAAGCCCCACTTCTCAGTCTCTTAATGGGCGATATTTTGAATTTGTACCTCAGGAAATCTTTGTTTTGGCACTTTTGTGTGGGGTGAGGGCGGAAGGGGGTGTATTGGAATGTCTCAGTTTTTCATCCAAGCTTGGTGTTTCTTCTCCTCCTTTTGTATAGCCAGTTGTTGATTTGTATGTGGACTTATATGCTATCATTGACACGTAGCTTTCTGCACTGCGGATTCTCCATAATTCAATTTAGTTGCAAGGAAAAAATGAGAGTGAGCGAATGGGAGAAAACCAACTTGCATCATCACATCGGAAACCAGATAGTCCTGTGCTGAACAGAAAGCAGATTGCACCAAGTACACACCAAATAAGAGTCAAGCAATGAACTCAATTGTCAATGTCAGCCCCAAACTCGGCACTTCTCATATGGCACTCAGCACCCAGACCATGATCCCACAGCACCTATACTAGCCTACTAACTAATGATGCAACCACAACCATTTAAGCAGCAGACCGATGTACATGAAGACGTCGCCCATGCGGACCTCGATCCTATACCATGCATGTGTCTCTCACTCCCTCA